CTCCCGGCAACAGCACGCGGGGCGCCGGCGGCGCGGTCAAGCGGCAGCTGGTGTACGTGTTCACCACGTGGCGCTCGGGCTCGTCCTTCTTCGGGGAGCTCTTTAACCAGAACCCCGAGGTGTTCTTCCTCTACGAGCCCGTGTGGCACGTGTGGCAGAAGCTGTACCCCGGGGACGCCGTGTCCCTGCAGGGGGCGGCGCGCGACATGCTGAGCGCGCTCTACCGCTGCGACCTCTCGGTCTTCCAGCTGTACAGCCCCGCGGGCAGCGGGGGCCGCAACCTCACCACGCTGGGCATCTTCGGCGCGGCCACCAACAAGGTGGTGTGCTCGTCGCCGCTCTGCCCCGCCTATCGCAAGGAGGTGGTGGGGCTGGTGGACGACCGCGTGTGCAAGAAGTGCCCGCCGCAGCGCCTGGCGCGCTTCGAGGAGGAGTGCCGCAAGTACCGCACGCTGGTCATCAAGGGCGTGCGCGTCTTCGACGTGGCCGTGCTGGCGCCGCTGCTTCGCGACCCGGCCCTGGACCTCAAGGTCATCCACCTGGTGCGAGACCCTCGCGCCGTGGCCAGCTCGCGGATCCGCTCCCGCCACGGGCTCATCCGCGAGAGCCTGCAGGTGGTGCGCAGCCGGGACCCGCGGGCCCATCGCATGCCCTTCCTGGAGGCGCCGGGCCACAAGCTGGGCCTCAAGAAGGAGGGCGCGGGCGGCCCGGCGGACTACCACGCGCTGGGCGCCATGGAGGTCATCTGCAACAGCATGGCCAAGACGCTGCAGACGGCCCTGCGGCCCCCCGACTGGCTGCGCGGCCACTACCTGGTGGTGCGGTACGAGGACCTGGTGGGGGACCCCGTGAAGACGCTGCGGAGGGTGTACGACTTCGTGGGGCTGCTGGTGAGCCCCGACATGGAGCAGTTTGCCTTGAACATGACCAGCGGCTCGGGCTCCTCCTCCAAGCCTTTCGTGGTGTCTGCGCGAAACGCCACGCAGGCCGCGAACGCTTGGCGGACGGCCCTGACCTTCCAGCAGATCAAGCAGGTGGAGGAGTTCTGCGCCCAGCCCATGGCCGTGCTGGGCTACGAGAGGGTGAACAGCCCGCAGGAGGTCAGGGACCTCAGCAAGCCCCTGCTCCGCAAGCCCCGGCTCTGAGGCCCGGCTGGGCCCGACCCAGGGAGCCGCGGACTCCGCCAGGGGTCCGCTGTAAATACCGCTCAGGCACTTGCTGTCGTGTCCTGAGCCATTGCATTTCAAGGGACAGTCGCAATACACACACTTCTCAGAAAAGGCGAGACTTGAAAGCTCCGACCAGCTGCCTTCCCGGCTCTCCCTGCCTTTCTCCTTCCCCTGTCTCCCATGTCTCACCTTCTCTCCTACCTGCCCTTCATTTCGAAGCGGGGTACTGATGAAATCAAGATCCAGTAACCCAAATCTTGTTTACAAAGTTTTTGTGGTATCTGTGAACATGTAATAGAGTAATTTGGAGGGGGGTAAAGTAAGGAGCAGAAAGCCCCACTGGGCATATAAACAAGGAGGCATTCTTTTAAAGTAGACTTTTCTGTAAAAGCAAAGGTTATATGTGAGTATTAATAAAGAAGATAATCAGTAATACTCCTTTTTATATTTGCCTCCATTGCTTTGGATGTACCTGTGTTAATCTGTGTAGCCTCAGAGAGAATCTGCCTCCCATCCCCCAACCCCCTTTTCCTGTCTGTTTCCTGGAGAAGAGCTGAGATGGGCAGAAGCAGCTCCTTACTCCTCGATAAGAACCTGGGAGTTGTCTTCTTACATGTAAATCACAGCCTGTCAGGTGCCCAGGAATGGGAACAAATCTTCAAATTCAAAACCAAGCCTGGAGCACGGAAAGGAAGAAGCGAGCCCTTGGGAACCTGAAGGCATTCAGTGTGGACTGGGGAGCCCTGAAGCAGAGAGCACTGTTTCAGTCCTGGGTTTAGTTCAGAAAAAGGATTTTTTAAAAAGAAAAGTATGTAATTAAAAGTATTTCTGATGACTAGAACACAAACCTCAGATATTGATGTGAGGGTATTGCTGGCAATGGTAGCAACTTCTGGGGTTAGGAAAGGAAGAGAAGGATATGTGTGTGGAGGGTCTTTCGCTTCTGGCACAGCATGCGGAGCACCTGGAAGGGGGGTTTCACCTGAGGACTGTGGGGCACTCACGGGCTTTTCTCCCCGCCTCCCATCCAAATCAGGGCAAAGGATGTGAATTTATAATGGTTTATTCGGGATGCCCATGGCGCATGCTGCTTTTCTTTATCATATTCCCTAAATGTAAAAGTGCAAAGAAGCTATAACATTTGCAGACAGTATAAGGTTTCATGAAAATGAATTATGAGGTAGTGTGTTGGATTTTGAGATTTGGTGTTTCCCGGAGAGGAACCCATTGCAATTTTCCTGCAGTGGTAATGGCGTTGCTGCTGTACCGAGCCCATTTGTTGGGAGCGTTTTGCAGAATGTCATATTACAATGTTATGAAACCTAAAAAGAAACAGGAGACAGTGTAGTTCCATATTACATTAAATGGGGTGCAAGTTCAATATCATGACATATATATATATCGTGAGATCTCTGCAGGCCAACCTGTATAGGTTAAATGCTGAGGACTTTAAGGGAAGAGTGTTAAAAAACATGTACATGGGAAATATTGGAACACAAGATGGTTCTTAAGTATAATTTTCGTTATTATGTGAAATCTACACTGTTAAGAATTCCAAGATGAACAAGAACAGAGGTTTAAAAAAGATGCATTTAGCAGTGGATTTTATAACCCATTCTAGAACGGCTTATTTTTAATTTACTGAAATAGTTAATAGTATTGTGTTCATTCAGCCCTATTGCAGCTATAACACACTGTTCACGTTTCCTGATGTCTTCATGGTAGTGCTCTGCTGAATTATCTTCAGCAGCAGAATATTTGTGATAGCTTTAATTTAAGGATACTTTAAAATTAAATGAACAAAATAAATATTAATGTTGGATGAGTATAGATGAAACAGGTTTATGAGGAAATTAAGATAGCATCATTAAGAAGCAACTACTCTGAACAGAATAACCATTTAAAAAGAAATTTCATATGGCATTCAGCTCCTCTCACTTAATCATAGAAAATTCATGCTTAGTTTCTCAGGGAAGGATTTTTAAGCAGTTGAATTCATTCTTTTCTCAGCATACTGAAGGACTCTGATTGCACTGTAGTGGAATTACAGTGTTTTGGGACCTTGTATTTAACAATACCTTAGATGCCACACAGAGCCCTGCAGCCTGCGGAGTATTTGTGGCCTCTGCTCAGATGGAATTTTAAGCTAAACCAACAATTCTCTGTTGCTGTGTTCAAACCAGGTTTTCACCTGTGATTCTCTTGTTTTGTACCAGCTGCATTCTCTCCACTCGGCCGCTCCTGGGCTCTGTAATTTGAAAGGGTGAATTGTTGCTCTGGAGATTTGTACCTAGCTGCATTCTAGGAAAGTGAGACAGGTGCCGTTCCCACTAGCAGCCAAGGTAGTCATATCAGTGACATTCGGCTTCCACGGGTGTGAGAAGGAGAGCAGTGTTTTTGACATTAATAAGCTCTGCCAGGCCCTTGGTGAGAGCAGACCTGTGTCTCAACAAATTGCAGCAGAGCCTGGGACCGTTTCTGAGGCAGCAAAATGAGAAAGAGGCCCGTTCACATTTCCCATCCTGGCCATAGAGCCACCAGCAGGTGGGAACATTTTTCAGAGCAGGTCAATAGAGTGATTTTTATTTTCAAACTCTGCTCGGCTAATAGCACGCCGGACTTCCCCCTTTGACTGTGGAGTGCTTCTGTTAATTAGAAGGCTCTGTTTATAAAGTGAAGCCTACCCATTGCATTAGTCAACAAATATGCGTGTGGAACAAGGCAGTGGCTCAGGCTGGGTGCTTGAGTTTCAGGAGCTCGGAGACTCAAAGGCCTCATTCAGACTGACCTGGGGTACCTGGCAGGCAGGGACTGGGGCAAGTCCTGTACTCTTCAGTTTCTACCACGAAGTGAGTGCTTGATAAATATTTATTACATAAGTGAGTGAAATACGTTAACTATCAAATTTGGAAGTTCCCAGAAGGGAAAGAGGAAGAATGTATTGCATTCTTGGAGAGAGTGCCAGGTGATTCACCGAAGTTTGCTGAAGGAAGTGGGCCGTAGGTTCTGTTTAGATGTGGGGAGTGGGCATAGAGACAGCTTCGAGATTTCCAGGGTGGCCTTGCAGAGACCAATATTTCCCACCGATGAATTAGAAACAAAAATTCAGAATTTCTGAATGTGGAGAGGTAAGTTTCCAAATGAGGAATTTGATTTACATTATTTGTTTTCCCAACTGCATGAGCAAGGTAAAGTTAGGGATCAGAATATACCTGCAAAAGGAAGGCTGCCCTGGTGCCTGAGGGCTAGAAGGTGGCTCATTATCGCAGAGGCCCTGTGACAGTCATTAAGTGTTCGAGTGCTGTGAACGTGCAGTTGAGGGACTGTGAGGGGATTTCACCCAGGCACAGGAGTGGTTACTTTCAGGAGTTTGTGCTGTTGTGGATGCTGAACAGGACAGTGGCTGCCGTTCCTACATGTCCCCTGCCCGGCCCTGGCCTGTTCTGTCTGGGATTTCTGTCGGACACAGCATAGTGTGGCTGGATTATGCTGTCAGTTTGAAGTTAATGTGAATTTGAGTGAGGCCGTGAATTAATATTTTCTGGGTCTGAGCAATGAGGTAAAAATCACATTTGAAACCCAGTCTCTAGAGATGACTTCAGAAAGACCAAGAGGGAAATAAAAAGGCATGTGTTCTTTGTAGGCACGGGTAAGGATGAGGCATCACCTCACTCCTCCCCAACTTCCTTCCCTTCCTGTGCTGCTGCGCACAGCACCTGCATGTACAACTGTGTCTGAATTGTCTTCAGGCCTGGAAGAGAGGGGATGTTCATGCCAGCTGACGGGTATGTGGCCAGGGACACTTGATCTCAGGCCTCCGGAGAGAGAGGCCAACGATTCTTTCCGACCCTGTGATAGTTCTGTGTCAGGATCCACTGTGAACAGGTAGAAAATGAGCTGTGTGACAGGCTGTCCCCAGGTAAATGCATAGTACAGAGCTGTTTTGTCACTTACCTTGAGGAAGCCCCTTTCAGATCTGTCATGGCTGGAACATAATTTCACAGTTTCCCTCCTTTCTGGGCACCCCGGCTGTTCCTTCGGCAGTTCAGGTAGAGCCACTGAGCTGCTTGGGTACCGGCTCTGGTACAAGTGTTGAATAATTGAAATTACAGGGCTTGACTTTTATTACATCTGATGCAATTCCACACACCCTTAATCAAACAATGCTAAGGAAGTTGTTGAACACTGAATAACGTCAGGTTTGCAGGATGGGAAACGTTTTGAGCCAGTGTTTGGGGACAGTCCTGTTTATAAACTGGAAGGAGGCTCGAAGGGCAGGAGCCTGTCTGTACACTTGGCAGATGGAGGCATGTGGCCGAGGCCAAAGCTTCACTTTTGGTTGAACCAGTTGTTTGTAGTCAGATGTGAAAATGCTTTTGGGCTGTGTGAACTTTCAGGTTTGTGACAGTCAGCCTGCCAAGGGAACGAATGTGAAAATGAAAATGATCACTGTGACCAGCCGCTACTCAGAGCATCCCAGGCACAGAGACAGGGCTTGGCAGAGGTTCACCTGGGCTCAGCTATTCCTCCAGACAGGACCAGCTACATCATTTGTGGGACTCGGTGCAAAATGAAAATATGAACCCCGTGTTAAAAAAATTAAACATTTCAACTCGGCAACAGCAGGGCATTAACCAAGCAGGCCCTCCTGAGAGTGCGGCCCACGAACGGCACAGGCTGTGCACTGTGAAGGCGGCCCCGGCCCGGCTGCGGAGAGTCAATGAGGGCGGCCTCATTACAGGCGCCTGGAAAGTGGGTGTAAAGGCACCAGTTATTGTGCAACTGTAATTACAGCAAAGCCCTCCTAGCGAGACAAGTGCGCGCTGCGTGACGGGATGTGGCGAGCACACACAGGGCACACAGGACACATAGTCCTTGGGGACTGCAGCAGTGGTCTGCGTCACTGGCGGGACCGCACCCTGGTCAGGACCGAGACAGCCTGTACTTCTGTGGAATCTCATAAGCACAGGTCAGGTGTCTTCCATAGGGATGGAGAGCATGACCTCCTGTGCTCAGCGAGCTCTGCTAATGACAGCGTTCCCTGCCTTCTAGAACTTGGTGGGGCTCTGTTCGCGTTGTGTGTAATACAGAGAGAAAAGCAAAATGTCGAGTCACAATAAACTCGGGGGTTAAAGGGCAGGGAGCCTCGCCAGCTGGCCTCCTCAGTGTGCCGTGCCGCAGTGATTCTTACTACAGGTGTGAGATGCACCCTTTCCTCTGGGTGACAGTTCTCCACCCTTTCTGCACCTCTCCTGCCTCCCTTTTCTTCTCTACTTTGTGAAAAGATCCTGGATCTTTCTGAAGCTTTCATTTATCAACCCTGCTCCGAGACACAAAACTCTGTGCTCCCTCCTCCCCTGCTGCGTCGTGCACAGGTCTCCTGGGGGTAGTGACCACAGGCCGGGATTCTTTGTTGACAGCCGACCTCTTCAGGC